TTAAACTGTTCTTATCTCAACCCACAATTTTCTCCCTTTTCTCCTTCCCATTCTCTCCTGCTGGGGGTGGGAATGAGCAAGCGGCTGCGTGGTGCTGATTGCCGGCTGGGGTCAAACCACGACACTGAGTCTCCCTGACCATCCTGTACCGCAACGGTGACATTTTTAACGAGCAGCGCAGGCCAGCAGACTGCTTGCCGTGGTGCTTGTAAGGCACTGCTGATCGCCAGACCAGCTTGCAGGCCAGGCTGATTTTATTTGATGCAGCTGCTACAAATCCTGGCATTTTAGCTGCCTAGCGCTGCTGTCACTGGTTTAGCATTCCCTCTAATGGCTGTAGCGAAAGTTTAATCAGGGCTATACTGACTCTTAAAAGAAAAAAGTGAGAGATACAATTGTCCAGAAAAGTCTGAACAATTATCTTATACACAGAATATAAGACAGACACCCACGTGATTTCTGTTTTGCGTCTCTCATTTTCACAAACACAAACACCAAAAAAAGCAAACAACACTCTCCTACCACAAAAAAACCCAAACAAACAAAAAAAAACCAGGTATGGGAAAAATATTTTCCATTATTGCAGCAGAAGTGCATAAAAATTTCACTCCTGTTTTCTATGTCTCCACTACATGGCAGTCTAAAATAAAGAGCACTTAGAGAGAAATTCCTAACTTACCTTGTCAGAAGGTTTGAATGGATTTCCTTGTCCACTTATTCCACCACTGATACTAAAACCGAGGCCGGGATTCTTCTCTATTCTTACACAAAACTAGGTCAAAAAGATATGGCAAGATAAGTCAGCGCCAACATTAAAGGCTGTCTGAACAACGGCATCTTCTCCTCAGACCTCCCATCCCACCGGTAACGGGACGGGCTGACCCCCTCCAAAGCACAGTACGAGTCAGTAGAATGTTGTTATAAACTGAAACTATTTCCATTACTTTAGTGTGCTGCAGCAATACCACAATTTTCACAGTGCTGTGTGTATTTTTCCATATATCTTAAAATTTTACTTTCAAGGAGAAAAAACCCCCTTTGACCACTGAAAGAGCCGTTCACACTGGCCAGGCTTTTCACCTGTGCTTGGCCATTGGTCTGTGTCAGTGAGACTTCACCATGTGCACGTTTCAGAGGGTGTCACACGTGCAGCATCTTCTCTTTTAGTCAGGATGACTCTAAATGGCATTGGGTGATTGACTATAAAATAAAAACGACTTCAGTGCAGCTCAATGACTGCTCACTGCACCAGTCCGAGCACGTCCCGAGAGCCACACCAGCAGCTGGGACCCTCAGTGCTGTACTCGGGGACCCAGCGCAGGCAGCTGCTTGTGTGCATTGTCCAACACAAGAGGAAGGTTTGCTAACGGTTCTGGGCCTTACTCTGCACGTCAGGTGCCTCTAACAGTTCCTGCAGACATTAAGGCCAACTACAAGGGGGACAGGACCACTTAATGAAGAAACTCATCATCAGAGTGAACAAGGTCACTGGGGAACCGGCAGAAGGTGCTCATTAATTCCGTGTGACCCAGTGATGGCAGCTCTGCTGAGGAATTTCAACGGCAACGTGTGTTGCTTGGTCAATGCAAGAAGCAAGCGGTGTCAGTCCCTGGTGCTGGGGCAGAGGATGGACCTTCTCGCCCGCCTCCAGTTCAGCCAGACCTCCCCGTGCAGAAAAGCAGAAAATATTCCTATTGTATAGAGAGCCTTTCTCACCTGCTCCTGATAGGTATCCGTGCTCCTCTGGCCCTTGGTCTGGATCAAGCATCGCCCTGGCTGAGGCACCCGAGAGCCCTGCGAGGAGGGGATCTGGATAGGCAGCGGCGGCTGGTACTGCTGAACGGTGACTTTGTTCATGCTGCCCTCGTACTGCTGCTCGCGGCTGCGGTGCTGCAGGCTTTGGGATCCCATTAGGGTCTGGATGTGGCTACCTGCCTGTGGGTAACGCAACCCGTTAGGCCAGAAATTCAGGAAGCTGGAAAGAAGCAATTAATACAACTTACAGAGCCAAGGAAAAGCAAACCTCCTAAATCATATCAGAGGTTTGCCTCTTGAACACGGCTGGAAACAACCGCGATTAAAAGCAGCAAGGATACGCCCGCTGCATTCAGCAGCCCTAGGAGGCTGGAGGGAAATTTGCTGTGTACAGTATGTTTTATAAACAGAAAATATTCTTCACCTCATGTCATGATACATGCTTCTGCTCCCAATGTCCTGGGAATGGAGAACATTTAATAAATTGGACTAGGGTGGACTATTCATCACAGCACACTCTGAAGATACTGGGATGTCTTTCCTTCTGAGGACAGTTTGTAATAAGATTTACAACCCAAACACGGATACTGGCCAGTGTCGTGCCCTGTGTACGGAAAGCATCACCAGTGACACCCTGTGCCTTGTCCTAGGAACAAACACGGCTTTTACAAAACGGAACTATCAAATTATCAAATGTCTATGCTAATATCTACTGATTTGAAGCTCTAATATTTTGTAAATGTAAGTGAAATACTGCATTCACACTGACGTGGCCTTTTGATGTTCTCAGATAAAAGAGGATGACTGCTATCACTCTTCTACCCACTCCATCACACGTTGATCCATTTTGTGATCAAATGGTATTACCTCCATGAAATATCACACCGCTGCTACTGGGAGTTTCCAGGTGATGAGCACCCACCGACCAGTGCTGTTACCGGAACAGCATGAACCCCAGAGAGCGTTACGGCTGCATGTCGCAGCATCTGCAAGTCTCTGTGGACAAAGCAGACCTACTTCAACAACGTTTCGCGTTAAGTTTACACCAGCCAAGGACACAACCACGTCTCATTGTGAAGGTCTAATCCTCGGGGCTACTGAACCTTGGTGGGAGAGTCACCAGCTGGGAGACTGTATTTTAGATGAGATTCAATTTAATGCAGCAAAAGATCAAAACATTTCTTACCCCTTGGCCAACCATTTGGCCTCGGAAGTTACAGCAGCCAGGGCGCTAGAATTAATTCCTCATTGCCACAGCAAAACCGCAGCTTAATGGATTTCCAAGCTTTGTCTGCTCAATGCATCGTCCACAGAGATGCAGCTGGAGCTATTCCTGTCCCCAGGCACAGAATCCCAGCCAGACACACAGTGCTGGTGAGTAGAACTCATCTGCTCTGCCTTATTGTTTTTGCTGACTACGTTTGAAGAAAGGGAGTAGGTGGAATACGTGTCTGACAGTTCTTCATCTTAGCACAAGGGGATAGTCTCAGAGTGAGCAATGCCAGAGGAACCTCTTGCTCTTTGAGCCCAAGTCTTCACTCCCCAAACTCTTCTGCACAAACCTGCACGCGTGAGAGTGCTTAACAGATACTGACACACTTACTCCAAGAACAGCCTGGTGTGGTCAGCCTGGACCGCAAACATCCCGTTCACAGGTCAGAGCGAGCTTCAACTCATCTGAGATCAGAAGGGAGGGAAAACGCTCAAGACAAACTTTCTATGCACGAACCCCGCAGCAGCCACCAGCCGTGCCCGCAGCAGATCACTGAATCCGTGCCGCCGGAGATGCAAGGCGAGCAGGCAACCCTGTGCAGCACGGTTCTGTACTTCACACTGTGTCACGCTCGCCACAAGAGGCTCTCAAAAAAGCAGAATCTCATAAATCCTGCTGCTTGCCCCAGATATAATCCCATACCCACCACAGCAGTCCACAGCATGCGCATTGCCTGCCTCAGAGGAAGATATCTCTTTCAAACACATAAAAATCTGTGCTTCTTCACTGAAAAGCCTCAAATCTTCTTTACCAGGTTAGAAGACCTCTGAATTGAACAGCAGAGACTGGCAATGAAACAGAAAGGGCCTCCAGCCTCCCAGCTGTGGCTAAGAGAAGTATTCCCAAGGCTGAAACAGAGAGAGATGGCGACTCAGACACTTTAGTATGTCCCAGGTTTGAGGCAGCTGCCCTGCTCCAGTTCCAAGGCTCCTTCCACATCCACCCAGCCCACTGCAGTCCCCGCAGGGATCTCCAGGAGTTTGCACGGCTTCAGCCTTCCTGCGGGCTGCTGTGATCCTGCAGCAGAAGAGGACAGCTAACACAGTCCTACGCGTCCCCAAATCCGCATAGCTCATCCTCTTGGCAGGTCATCCCCCTGCACCCAGTTTGTCTGCTCATTGTCCATCTTCATCCTCACTGCTCATTGTCCATCTTCATCCTCACTGCTCATTTTCCATCTTCATTCTCACTCTTCAACCTCTCTTTTTCATGAGGAGTGATTCCCAGGTTCCTTTTGGGTGACCCCCCACCACACTTCTACCCCTTCCCTTTTCAGGGAGGAGCAGCTAACTCAGAATACAAGGGATTTAATCAGGCACGTAGCTGGCTCCTGTCTTGTTGACCCGACAGAAAAAGTTGTCTTCCAGGAAGCAATAATACTGTAGTCTTTTGACAAATCAGTGGATTATTCCATTTGAAGATGAAAATATCCTCCCTTTCCCAGAAGAGAAATAGCCCACAAATGATGGGGTGATGACATAAATGATCACACTTCAAATAAACCTGGCACTTAATCTGTATTCTGAACAGCAAAAAGGACAGAAACAACCACTCACACCTAAGGATGTAGTGATTACCGGGTAGTATTCCCACCTCTCCTAACATAAAGAGCCATGCACTGCAGCCCTCTGTGTGGGTAATTTGGAACACGTATTGCTGTGTCCATACACGCACGACATCAGCCTGAGTCCACGGTCTGTCCGTCTGCAGCACACGCTCT